TGTTGCTGTTATAGACGAAACTTTAACTGCAGGTAATGCTCGACAACACCGTGATTTATTAACACGACAAAGTCAAGATATAATACATAAATCATGGATATCAAAACGTACAAGTGCACGACAAGCAGCTGATGTTTTATTATCATCATATGAACGTTTTATGAAAATAATTAATACAACAAGTGGAAATTTAGAAAATTTTCATGTACAATTATCAAATTTAAGACAACGTTGGAAAATAAGAAAACAAACAAATACAAATAAATATTTAGGAGATTTATCATTTCGATCAGGTTAATTAATATAAATTACAAAAACAAAAAAAAACAATTTCATTTTTGATTACTTTTTTTTTTAAGCTGGTTCATTCTATCCATTTAAAATGCAATTTGAAGTAACAAAAGCTGATAGTCATAAACGTACACATAATAATTCTATTGATGTTATTATACCGGAAGAATTACAAGTTCGTGTTATATTAAAAATTGATATTGAAACGAGTGTGTCTGTGTATTTGTTCAAATTATCATAATAAAAACAAGTTTTTTTTTTTTTTCGTTTTTATTTTAGAAGATGGACAAATTTTACTTCGAACATATTCAACAATGATGGCTAATGATACAATAATAAATAATAATGATAATAGTTTTGATTCCATATTAGAAAATGCTCAACGTACAGTTTTTTTAAAAGAACTTTTTTCACAAGTAAATTTTTGAAATTTTAATATTGAAAAATAAAATCAAAATATTTTTAACTTTGTCGAGAAGCATCAGATATTATAAATATAATTCAACTAACAGTTATGAGAAATTCAATTCGATGTTGGGTTTGTAGATTTTTGTTATTTATTAAACAGAGAGAAATAGAAAAACAAAGACCTTAATAATAGTGTAATCCTTGTGTGATTAAAATGTCAAACAAAATGTAATTGCTATTGCTAATCAAAGAGAGATTGTTAAATATATTAGAACGAGACGTTATTCATATACAGTATTTGATTGTATATCAACGAAATGTGTAACGTAGGGCGAGAGAATATTGCTAAAGCATTTATCACGGTATTAGATGAGGAAAATATCTTTCTAGGGATATCTCTATCGTACACGGTAAAAAAAAAAAGGTATTTTACCGAACCCTCCAAAAAGGTTTCCTAGGTGTCTAAAAGCTTCCAAATGCTTAAAAAAATGGTTGTTAAAATCTACGAAACCTTAAAAGGATCGGGCCGCGGGTACACCGTCCGAAGCATCTCCTACGAAACCTATTTAGGTTCCGTAAAGCGAAAAAAAAGGTTTCGTAAGAAAATAGGAAACCTTCATAGTTTCCTAGTAAACCTTGTGCTTTTGTATAAAACTATAGGGTTACTAGGAAACTATGAAGGTTTCGTATTTTCTTGCGAAACCTTTTTTTCGCTTTACGGAAC